TTTTTTTTTTGAGACAGGGTATTGCTCTGCTGCCCAGGCTTCCGTGCAGTGTGTGGGATGTAGTGGCAGGATCTCGGCTCACTGTAACCTTTGCTCCCCGGGCTCCAGAGATCCTCCTGCCTCAGCCCACTAGGTAACTGGGGCTAGAGGCATGCATCACCATGCCCGGCTAATTTTTGTATTTTTAGTAGAGACTGGATTTTGCCACAGTGCCCAGGCCGGTCTCAAACTCCTGAGCTCAAACTCATCTACCTGCATAGGCCTCCCAAAGTGCTGGAATTACAGGTGTGAGCCACTGCACCCAGACAAAATACTTTACTTCTAATAGTTTTATGCAAAGAAGGAATGAACATAGGCAAATAGAGCACATATTTGCCCAAATTCACTTCTTCAGTATTCTGATCCTTGACCCCAAATTGTCAACATTAACTTTAATCACTGGCATTTTTAAGTAAAAAAAAAAAGTACCAAATCATTCCTTGGGAAACATCTGTTAAGCCACAGATGACATGTCATATCATACTTTGGAAATATGGAATATCATGGAGGGTGGACAAAGTCAAAATAACCATTGAGACTATCTGAAACAAAAGATACAACGCAAGAAAATAAACTGACTTTTAAAAAATACTGTGGCAGGCAGACTGCATATGAAGTCTCATGTTAAAAGAGAATTCAAGCTAAAAAAAATTATTTTGCATTTGTTACCAACAATTGAGGGTTTTGTATTAATCTAGATGCCCTCCAAAGAAATTTAATGCACTGTCTTAAGAATACAAGTGATTTGGAGAGAGAGCACACAGCTGTTGAAAAGCCTATTAATACCAATCAAGCTTTTTTCATAAAGGAGACAATATAAAGCAAGAGAAGAGAATTTTTATCCCTATCACAGATTTCAAGCTTCAAATTCAGTTGAGAAGTAACGGTGCAAGTCTTCAAGCATCCAACCCCATAAGAAGTGAACAGATCCTTCAGTCTTACCCATAGGTCTGTTTCTGTCCCTGAGGTCCCTGTGGCTGGGGTGTCGATAGGAGTCCCTGTAGTGGTGGGCAATGGCCATATCATCCAAACGGTAATGCTGAGGTGGAGGTGGGGTGGGGTGAGGCAGGCCATTGGGCTGGTAGGATAAGCCGTTATTTGGACTGTACCGCTGGCCTGGGCTAATAGTGCATGGTCGCTTGCTTGGATGTTCTGAGTGCAAAGGCTCTCTGTCAAAGCCATTTTCTTTGGTTCTAAGGAGGAAAAAACAAGAGTTTATTTCATCATCTCTTCAGAAACCAGCACATTTCAGTCACTCATATTTGAGCTAGGAATAAAAAACAGAATATTTTTTATTGGCCAGAAACCTTATAAACTCAGCTTCCCAGAAAACATATGAGAATTCACTGAGACCCATACCAAGACCTCATGGATCACAAGCCTGCAGACAGGAGAAAATGCTTCATTTCTCATCAAATTAGCAAATATCTTTTCAGTTGAAGTTCATGTGGTTAAGTCACAAACAAGAGGAAAATCAAGTCACCTGCAGATAACATTTTCACTCAAAAAACAGTGCTTGATTTCTAACGAGTTTCCCTAAGACCAACTGTGTTTGATGAAGATTCACCAAAGTAAAACATCACCACTCTCTCCATGAACACTTAAGGTACACCTATTCCACTTGATATCTGACTTTTGTGTCAAAGAAGATCTAAGAACTGTGCTGTCCAATACAATAGCTATATGTGGTTGTTTAACCTAAAATGTAAGTTACTTAAAATTAAATAAAGCTTAAAATTCAGTTCTTCAGTATCAATAGCCACATTTCATGTGCTCAACAGCTACGTGTGGGCAGTGGCTTCAATACAGCTAATGCTCGACTTACGACCACGGTCAGGACCGCGGACCGGTCATAACATGATTTGGTCGTAAGTTGAGTAGGCTATATGTACAGTTGAAATGGTGCACGCAGAGATGGTAGTGCTGCCGGAAGCTGGTCCGCACTGTCGTACGCCCAGCTGGGCAACGTTTGCGCTGCCAGATGCAGAGCAGTCGTGGCTAGTGATTGTGGTCGTAAAGTCGAATGGTCTAAGTTGCATAGGTGGTAAGTCGATCAACACCTGTACTGGACTGCACAGATATGTAACATTTCCATTATCACAGAAAGTTCTATAGGAAAGTAAGGCTCAAACTGAGCAAACGCAGTATGCAATGCAATGTCTGGGACCCTGACATTATCTTGAGTCACCAAGGGTTAGCAAATACTTTTCATTTGTCCCATACAGTATACCCTTGAAATAATCAGCAGTTGTATAGAGCTAGCCTGGACTAGAAGGAAGATCTAGGTCAACCTCCTTAAAGTTGAGGAAATACACACCCAGAGAGCTGGTGTATCCTGTCTGGGGTTATCAGGTCATACGGCAAGACAGGAACACCCTGAGGACACATCATCATGTGAAGAACTCTGAACCTGGCTTTCAGAAGGAATGCATTCTATAAATAAGACCTGATAACTAGTCACAATTCCTTGATTCTCAAACAAAAGAAATAATTTCTGGCTGTATATATTTCTATGGCTTAGAGACTAGCCCCTAATATACTCAATAAGATAGAAACAAACCATATTCAACTTTGACTGTAATCACAGCTCCCAAACTTACTTTTTACTTACAAGACCAGCACTCTATCTTTAGACTTGTGGTAACATCTATTTTCCCAGGGACATTTCCTCATAAGAATTCTATCAGTTCACAGTGGCTGCAGACTTCTACATGCCTTTTTTATTTTTGGTAGTAAAACAACCGCATGGAGACACTTTTTCTACTTTCCCAGCATCTAGTGACAGTCTTTGATAATACCAGAGGAATCCAGGTGGAAACTGAATCAACAACAGAGATTATCAGTGACAACAGGATTCTACAGTGAACTGTCCTTTATGCCCATTTAGGGTGGAGCCCAGCGACAATTCATATATACCAGGTTGAGAAGAATAAAGGACTAAGAGACAGAAGGTATACACATAGAAAGCACTGAGGGTAAATCTTCAGAGTTTAATGTTAAAGAACAAGCCCACTGCATACTAAGAAAGATACACTGTTCTGGAGAGGGCAGGGACCCTTAGGAATCAGCCATATGACCTCTAGTTACTCAACTTTCTGGCTTCAGTATTCTGCTCCGTAAAATGGGACTAATAGGAAACAACACTTGTAAAAACAATTTAAGAGGCAACCTAATTTATACTTTACCCTATCTCAGACTTTTTTTTTCCCTCCAGCTCCTCAATAACAGAAGCTGTAAACTATTAGAGAAAGAAAATAAATGTCCTTTAAAAACTCTACATGAGGCAGGGCGTGGTGGCTCACAAGCCTGCTTTGGAAGGCTGAGGCGGGTGGATCACCTGAGGTCAAGAA